TTTGATTAGGCAAATTTAAACTCCCAGGGAGAGTTTTTGCTGCTTAACCTAAGAGTCTGCTGAGTTTCTGTTCAGTTGCACTGACCTTAACCTTACTCCATGCACCCTCCAACATTTGAGAAAGAGAGAGAGAGAGAGACCACTACTGTACATAGTGAGTGACTCTTTAATCAGCTGTAAGGGGCACAAAGCCTGAAAGTTCATAATATTTTGTCTCCAAGACTAACTTGTCTCCATCATCTTGGTGTCTGAAGTCCTACTACTGCTTCCAAACATGTTATCTGCTGCAGAATTCACTAGAGTAATGATTCCAGGCCAATGGAAGGTCTTTTAGGAATGACTGTTACAAGTTCTAGGTAACATCTTTATTGCAAATGGCGTTGAAACAATGTTGTGGTAATTTACTACTATAAACAGATTTTTTTTCTTGTCATATAGGCACAGTACAGTCCAACTAGATATATTCTTATCTCTTTATCAGTCCCTGTGCAGCATGCTGTTGTTTTATATAGTGCAGTATTTTGTTTATTTTTTTTATCAAAATGTAGGGGTGTTTTGGTAGCAACTTTTTAGAATTTCGTATCCTTGTGTATATGTCTATTTTGTTTTGCAAATATGGCAGACTGAATGGCCTGTGCAGCTTTATAAGCATAATCGGAAGTGCCATTTAAATCAAAATGAATTTTAGTAGTAGCAGATGAATATTAAGCATAATGTTTTCCAGGCAGTGATGATATTTCCTTATGCACTAATCTTTTGTCTTTACTGTTACTTGATTAGAACAAAAATCAGAACATACATATTAAAAACATGTAACTTTAAAACACATTGTATAAAACAACACTTCCCATTTTCATTGTACGTTTTCCAGCATACCCTTTTATTCTTCAGAATTCATGCTTTCATTGACAATGGATTTTTGTAAGCCCACATAAGATATTGTAACAGCATTTCCCAGTAATGTAGAAGAGCAAGCAAGCAGTGTATGATTCATAATTCTCTACTTGTTACAAAGAAAATTCATGCTTCTCATCTAAGTTTGGATTTTAAAGTTCTTATTTATAAAAGCAGTCATTTTCCAGTCCTTTTTTGATGTACTGGAACATTCTCATTGAGGGGCCAGAAACATAGATTTTCACTTTAAATTACCCATTGTTCCTGTTCTCTGCCATTTTTGCCCTGTAGCGTTGGTTGACATTTCATAGAGAGTGAGCCGGCATAGGGCTGGAAAATATATAATTATAAGAATCATCTGCTCTTGATTTTTCCATTACATACCAATCATGATACAGGCAGATTTTTCATAGGTGTTTGATTTGGAATGAGAAGTTTTATTCTTCGTTGACCTGTGATTAAAATGTGGCATTTTGGTAAATAAATTGAAGATAGCTTCTGCATAATTCAGCTCTGATCTGGTGCTGGGAAAGGCAATGAAAGCCTTTGACCTGTATCACATAAGCAGCAGCATATGTAATAGGAAATATATTCTAAGATAAAAAACTGTGTAACACAATACACTTTTTTAATGTTAGATGTCTTAAAACAGGCATAATGCAGAAATGAAGCAAAATGACTGACATCAGGTGGCAATATAAGTGAAGTCTTGTTTCACCCTATACCCTGTGAAAGCCACAGAGTAACTCATTTACCTGCTTTAGTAGCTATAGACACATATGTAAATACATTAGCAATTACTGTAAAAATGGTAAGACTAGAGAATCTATTTCTAAATTAAAAATATAAATCATTATTATGGTAACAGACTAGAGACAAATCTGTTCTAAAATCAATATTATTTTGGACAAGAGTCTTGCATGTCGCATTAACCTGAGTAGGTGTTAGTGGGTTGGTTGGTACATATTCATGTACATGTTATCCATGGACTAGGCACACAATTCCTGATTACAATATGAGCCTGATCCTATTCTCATAGACTTTGGTGTTAGTAGGATTGAGCCCTATGTGTCTACATTTTGTGGGTATTGAACTGAAAAGATACTCCTTAATTATCCAGGTTTCCTTACAATATTCCCTGGACCACATACTTTCTAGCCACTTGATGTAGTTCTCCCTTCTATGCATGTTACCTATGATTCATATGTAATGATTCATATGTACTGTTTTTATACTGATGTTTTGGAAATAACAGACCTAACAATAATACTTAACATGTAGCATACTGCTAACATTAACATCCGAAGAAACCACAAATGTAGGATATAATGAGATGAATAAACAAGCAATTCTTGAAGATATTAAAATGATCTTCCAAAATGTACAGTAAATCACCTATTATATGACCTTCCATACCAGAACAGAGCAAAAATATACATGGGCTAGTAAAAGCATAATTCAGGTGCATGGTATCAGTATCTTTATAACCTTGGCATAGTGTGTTTTAATTGTAAACTAAAGGGAGGAAATAAATATTGCCTGTTTTTAAAACAATGTTAAAATATTTGCCTTTGCCATTGGGAACACACATTCTGCAAGTGAATGTGAGAGTAGGATTAAAAAAATACCAAAGTAAGTACATCTTTGGTCAAGATATCTGTGTATCAAACATGTGAAGTAAAAATGGTAAAGGCTGATTTCTACTGATGCTAATGTAATATTCCTTTTCTTTTATGTTTCAAATTAATTTCAACACAAAACTCCCACCCTCTATTGACCAAAGTCTTAATATTTAGAAGATCATTTTGGAATGAATGAAGGTGGGGTCAGTTGAAAGTGTAGCATGATGTCCAAGAATTCTTAACTTACAGGAGGCCAGGGTATCCTGCTTGAATAGAGAAACTATATAATACTATATTATTCAATAAATATCCAATAAAATATCTCTACATAAAAATTGTGAACAAGAAATTTCTAATGCGAAAGATCTGGGGCAGGAGGGGAAGAGAGTTTTAAAACAAATTTGATGGGAAATGTTTCCTGCAAGCAAGGCTAAACCATTTGGCTATAAATTATGTGGATGAACAAATAATCTGTTTCTATCTGTTAGACACTGATGGAAGTATTATCAGCCTCATCTATAAATCATGACAATAATCTTTTTTCTTCAAAAATGGTTTACAGTCGAGTTTAACATTCTTTCTCTCTGGTCACTGATTCCTTTTTGGTAGTCCTGTGACTGTGGGTTTTCTGAAAGCACACAAAGTGATACGTTTTTACTGTTTGCTTGTAAGTTCACATACTATTTTATGTACCCTTATTTCAGATGTTTAAAAATGCATAAGGATAAAATTATTCTTTTAAATATCTGAGTACTTATGTGGAGTAACTAAGTGAAGTAAATAGAATTACTCTGGTTTTCCACTGGGGTAACTGAGAACATAATTTGAGCCTCAGTATACAGCAGGACTGGGATTTTCAAAGGAGACTAAGGGAGTTAGGTGTATAAAACTGCAATTGAGTGCCTAACTCCAACAGTGTCCTTCGAAAACCCCAGTTTAGGCATTTAAGTAAGAAAGATTTTTTTGCAGAACTTTGTTTTACATAAAAACAAAAACAAAACCAACCTGGTCCCCCTGCCCTCGATTACTGGTAAGGTGTATGATATTCAGTTATTAGAATAACAAAAATGCTGATCTTTTACACTTTTAGTGTTGCATCACTTGTAAGGAGATATTTATTACTAATTTTAAAGTCATTCATTATGTATTGGATTGTATTCAGAGAGAGAGAGAGATCAAAGTATTTAACTCACCATCATGGACACCTTTGCTCAGCACGCCCTGCTGCTTTTTGTTATCATCACAGGGCGCCAGCTATGAGACTCAGTCTGTGGCCACACACATTTGCACACAATTTCAGTTTTTTGAGGAGCCAAATTTGTTAGGAGTTAGATATGTCAGTTTGGCTAGTGGAACACCAATTGCTTTCATATGTTTCAGAGAAGAATTAAATCAACACCTTATTTTACTTTTAATGGAGGGCCAAATTCTGCTCTCTGTTATGCTGGTGTCCTGAGTAACTCCATTGAATTCAGTGCAGTGATTCAGAATTTGCACTGTTATAATAGATAGAGTTTGTCCCATTAATTATTTTAAAAATATAAAGATTTTATTAAATTAGCAACATATGCTAATTATCCTATGCTAAATATAGAGGCAATACAAAGACTGCAGAGGAATATGAAGAAAGTAAGAAAACAAAAGATAAATTCTTTGACTCAGTGAAGCTGTGATTCTTTCTACACACATCTTATGCACACAGCCAACAAAAGATTATAATTTACACAGAATTCATGCTGGCAGCAACTTTGATCTCATCCTCACACATTCTTTGAGCTCTTCTCAACGTATTCACTGAGACCTTGCAGGTACTAGCAAATTTTGTAGCTGTAATTCACCACCAGAGTACCTCTACTGTGGTACTAATACAGGACTCAGGCATTGTTACTATTTTGCTCTGAGTAAGGTAAGGTTAGATACATGGTGATAGAATGTCTAAGTCAAGACTGCAAGGATGTTTTGTAGTGCAGACAACCAGAAAACAAACAAACAAAAACCCCATCACCAGCTCCCAACCAGATTCCACCAGATTCTCTTTTCTAACATACTGTCCAAAGTCACCTGATTCCATATATTGTGTAGTCATCACATTCTCCTCTCAGAAGTACAAGAGTTACTACAACAGCTCACATTTCAGCAGAGAAGCCAAGGACTAAATGGTAGTCGAGTCTGCAGTACTGCTTTTCCACTGAAGGTAGTCCCTCAAAACACAGAGTTCAGCCACATTGATAGAATGGTGTGGATAAGTTTATACTGCTTCTCTTTGTGATGGAATTATTCTGAATGTTTCAGTCCACAATGCTATTTCTGGTGCCTTTCATGAACATTACATTTTAAAAGGAAAAACAAACGTTGCAGGACATCTGGCAGTAAGGTTGCAGGATATATATAAACTATATACTAGTCAAACAATGTTCTAAGATTATTATTAACAGCCATTTAAAAGAATTCTTTACTTAATGAATTATTTCTTCCCCCTCTTAGGACCTGGGACATACAATCCTGTAGTGAAGTCAGCTTCCAGTATTTCCCTATTTGTTTCCAGAGTGGAGCGTTTTAAGGACGTGAAAGAGATTACTCCCGGTCCAGGAGCTTATGAGGTTTGTTGATATGGCTGTGTTCTCGGTCACATACTGGGGCTGATTTTTCAATCTTGCCTTAGCTAGATTGCTTTTGTTGTGCTTGTAGTTTTCCTGGCAGTATTTAGGCATTTAACATGATTTGTAGGGACAGTCTTTATTTAGCTATCTAAATGACAATTCCCAAATTGTGGGAACAGGAATGGAGGCCAGGTTTTAAAAATGTGACCAGTAATAAGCAGAGTAAATGACAATTTGTCAACATACCTACTGTATGTGCTTTAAATAGATGCTGGAGTAGAGGCTCACCTCAGACCTGTTATTCACTACTGAGTCAGATGGGAGTAAATAAATATTGCATCTTTGATTAGCCTTCGCTCCCTCTGTTGCTCAGTGTAATGAATTATAGTACACTTTCAGTGCCCGAATCTTTTCTTTGTGTTATACTTATGTATTCCATCATGAATTTAGCCATGAGCAAATTAAACATCTTTGACTGACAGCCAACTGAGGGAGGAGGCCTAGCTCTGTGGAGCAGAAAACTCAATGAAAGAGCAATGGAAGGGCAGCCTTCGCCATATAACTAATTGCTACAATTGCCCTGACACGGCTCTCTCATCTCTGGGTGGCAATTATGTGCCAAATGCACTGCTACTTGGGATTAGGTCTGAGGAAACTCAGCCACATTAGCTGGTCTTCCCAGGCAATGAAATGGGAGGCAAGAGACTGAAGTGAAGATGTGGAGCAAGAAGCGGAAGAAGAAAGGCCTCTGTTAGTTCCTCTCTGGTCCCCTGACTAACTACTCTTTCTAGAGCAACAGTATCTGTAGAAAGCCTCTTCCCTTCCCCCTTCAGTTCTGCTCCACCCTTGGACCCTGTTGGCTTTCTACTCCATGGGGGATGGGGTGAAAAAGAGAACCAAAATATCGTTGTTCCTCTGTCCTATGGGGGAATAGGTGCTGCCACAAGGAACCTTGCCTGATCCTTTCCTTACAACTTTTGAGGAGAAGGAAATGCAGTGTAATCATTGGGGGAAAGGAAAGATGGTTTTGCAGTCAAGGAAGTGTACTGTGAATTAGGAGTTCTGAGTTCAGTTCTCGGTTGTGGCACAGATTTTGTGTCAAGTATCAAAGGGGTAGCCGGGTTAGTCTGGATCTGTAAAAGCAGCACAGAGTCCTGTGGCACCTTATAGACTAACAGACGTATTGGAGCATGAGCTTCCGTGGGTGAATACCTACTTCTTTCGGATGCATGTAGTGGAAATTTCCAGAGGCAGGTATAAATATGCAAGCAAGAGTGAGTCAGGTTAGAGATAACAAGGTTAGTTCAATCAAGGAGGATGA